GGTTATTTGTGGGGCATAGGAATTCATTCATTTTATTTTTCAAAATATAGTCCAGCCCCCCACAAGGTCTGAGGAACAGTGGGCCGGCCCCCTGCTGAAAAAGTTTGCAGACCCCCGATCTAGGTCCTACCTAATTGGTCTATGTTTACCTTGAGTTGAGCAACTGATGTCAACACCTGTTACCTCCTAGTGCCAATACGTAAGCAATAAAAGTATGTGATACCAATTAATTATTTCTGTGGGTGCGGCAGCAGGGTATAATTTTAAAGCTTGACAGCCAAACCCAATATTGGAATCTGAGTTTCGTTAGGAGCGTTGTCATGTTACAAATGCCAGAAGAGAGACTGGGTTCAAAATGCTTGATCGCAACCAAGTTTTGGAACACCTGAGTTTCCAAGTTGTGCTGCCCAATTTGTGGAACTGAGTGCCATAGGGAGACCAGGAGGGCACCAACAATGGGGTACTTTTGCAAACAGCCATAGATATTTCAGTTTACCCCAGCATTTTCAGACTGTTGATACTGATTTTTGTTGTTGTGGCTGCTGCTGCTGTTGAGATGATCTATTTTGATGTTTTAACTTGTTATTTATTGATTTTAATGGTTTTGTACATATTGTGAACTGCTTTGAGATTTTTTAAGCGAATAATGACAATAAAGAAATTTTTTAAGCGAATAATGACAATAAAGAAATAGAGATCTACAGTGGTACCTTGGGTTACATACACTTCAGGTTACAGACTCCGCTAACCCAGAAATAGTACCTCGGGTTAAGAACTTTGCTTCAGGATGAGAACAGAAATCATGCGGCAGCGGGAGGCCCCATTAGCTAAAGTGGTGCTTCAGGTTAAGAACAGTTTCAGGTTAAGAATGGACCTCCAGAACGAATTACGTACTTAACCCAAGGTACCTCTGTACATAAAAACAACAAATGCCAGAAAAGGCAGATCTTAGTGGTCGTGAATGGTAAGAAAAAGCAGAGCAAAATGCCGTCATAGGTAGTTGATAGAGAATATAGCGGCGCAAATTAAGCAATCTTTTCATTTTGGAAGGGTTCAAGGAGAGTAACAAACCCAGCACAACTACCACAAGTCACATGTACAGTGGTACCTCAGGTTACATACGCTTCAGGTTACACACTCCGCTAACCCAGAAATAGTGCTTCAGGTTAAGAACTTTGCTTCAGGATAAGAACAGAAATCAGGCTCCGGCGGCGTGGCAGCAGCAGGAGGCCCCATTAGCTAAAGTGGTGCTTCAGGTTAAGAACAGTTTCGGGTTAAGAACAGATCTCCGGAACGAATTAAGTACTTAACCCGAGGCATCACTGTATTTAGTGCAGCAGCTGCAAGTAATCTACCAGGTCCATCCACTTCCAGCTACAAAGATGGTCCACAGTAAACTGTATCAATAAAACCTCCAAGATTGGGGTCAGAAAAATAATAATATCCTGGTTTATGAAATGTATTGTGAGGTGGGCTTCAGAAGGCCTGCTCTGTTTGCAGAAGAGAACATGGGTAGGGTTCTGTTGTCTTCCCTGGTTTCCAACGCAGTGGGTTGCTGCTGCTTACCGAGACAGAGAAGGGCCAGGCATTGGGAGCTCAGTAAAATCCATCATGGCAGGAGCATCAGGCTGGCATCGCTGCTGTACACCACAGCTCCCTCCCTGTGCCCTGCTTCTCCTCTGTGGTAAGCAGCAGGGACCTGCTATCTTGGGAAGCAGAGGAGTGCCATCTGAACTGCCTCACTGGCCACATTTGGTCTAAAGGCCAAACTACCTAGGATCCTAGAATTGTGGAGTTGGAAGGGACCCCCAGGGTCTTCTTGGTAGTGGCACCCACCTTGTGGAATGCCCTTCCATCAGATGTCAAGGAGATAAATATCTACAACTTTTAGAAGACATCTGAAGGCAGCCCTGTATAGGGAAGTTTTTCTTTTTAATGTTTAATGTCTTATGTTTTTTTAAAAAAATAATCTTTATTCATTTAAATTACACACATATACAAAGAATTTACGAATGGCAATACGAAAGAAGGGAATGTGTAACTAAAGTTATAAATACGAATGATTGTCAGAGACGCTGAAGGAAGTTCAAAAAAGAAACAATTTGTTGTATTTTGGATAAAATTGTATAACTGTTTGGAAAATCAATAAATTTATTTATATATATATATATATAATTTACAATCTCATACTACAAAAAGAAAATTAAAGAAAAAAGAATTAAGAAAAAAGAAAATACAGAAAAAAGAAAAAGTAGATTTATGTGCATAAAAATGTAATCATCCTAATTAATACTTAAACACTTAAATAAAAAAAGACTTCTGACAAAATGAGTCTTCCAATCATTCTCATTGTACTGTTTATACTGTTGTTTCCCCCCGCAGTTTTATATTCTTTAATATTGTTCCCGTCTACTCCACAAATGGTATTTGTTGTTTACAAGTATCACTAAAGTTCTGCTAATATGGTGTGGTTGGTACAATATGATCTTATATAATCCTTAAATATTCTCCATTCTCCAAATATTTTCTGGCTAAATACTCCTCTAACTCTTCCCGTCAGTTCTGCTAGTTGTAAGTATTCTAACATAATGTCTTATGTTTTTATTGATGATAGAAGCTACCCACAGTCTCTGGGGAAACCCAGTCAGATGGGTAGGGTACAAATAAAAAAAAATATTATCATATTATTATTTAGTCCAACCCCATGCAATGCAGGAATCTCTGCTAAAGCATCCATGACAGATGGCCATCCAACCTCTGCTTAAAATCCTCCAACGAAGGCGAGTCCATCGCCTCCCAAGAGAGACCATTCCACTGTTGAACAACTCTTCCTGTTGGAAAGTTCTTCCTGATGTTTAGTTGGAATTTCTTTTCTTGCAACTTGAAGCCATTGGATGGAGTCCTACCCTCCAGAGCAGGAGAAAGCAAGCTTGCTCCCTCTACCATGTGATAGCCCTTAAGATATTTGAAGGCTATCTTATCTCCTCTCAGTGTCCTCTTCTGCAGGCTCAACACTTCCAGCTCCTTCAACCGTTCCTCATAAGGCTTAGTTTCCAGACCCTTGATCATCTTGGTTGCCCTCCTCTACACACGTTCCAGCTTGTCAACATTCTTCTTAAATTATGGTGCCCAGAACTGGACACAGTATTCCAGGTGTGGGATTCTCTGAGTGGAATTGTCAATGCCCTTTATACAAAGAAATTGAGAGATATAGAGTTGTGTTTAAATAGGGTGGTAGCTTTTTAAACCAAAGAAGTCTACTCGCTATTATCTAGAAGTGTCTTTTGTCTGCTTCTGCTGGGGCTCATGCAGTTTGTTTAAAGTGCAACACACCTGCAAGCTTAAATACATAACGATCAAGTCAGTGTCCAGATCTTGCCATTGCACAATATCCTTACCTAACATGTTTGCTCCCATTTGGTCTTACCTTTGCTGGAATGTTGCCATGTAGGACAAAGGGCACTTTCTACACCCAGTCCTGGTTTGCTCAACAGCAGCAAAATGACATCTTGGAAATCCACAATGTGACTTGCATCAGTGTGGTAAAACCCAGTCAGGTGCGAGGCATCTTGGGTTTCAAGGATGAGAAGGCAATAGCATGAAAAGAAACATGGCTCCCAGGCAAATTCTGCTCCACCTGCAGCCTTTGTATGACTCAACCTATTTTTTTAAAAAAATAACTTAAAAATTATGTGCCAAGAAGAGCCGAATTCTACAGCTCTGCATAGTTGCCCCCCCCCATTAAGCTGATTTACGTATCTTTTGCATTACTCATTCTTTGATGGCCATGTAAGGGGAAACTAGTGAGACTATTGAGTCAGCAGGCATCAGAAATCCTGTTTAAACTTTGTAGTCCAAAACTCTTGTTATTTTACCAGGTGATGCCAGCACTCTCTCAAGGCTGTCCTGGCAAGGTTTTTAAAAAAGAGAGAGCAGGGATCTTTAGAAGTCTGAATTTTTCTCCCAATGCCACATTCCACACCTGTGCTGCAATTGCACAGAATCCCAGTCTGCTCACAGCTGCTTGTGAGCAGAAATCCTGGAGTTAGAAGGAACCACGAGGGTCATCTAGTCCAACCCCCTGAAATGCAGTAATCTTTTGCCCAAAGTGGGGTTCAAACCCACAATCCTGAGATTAAAAGTCTCATGCTCTACTGACTGAGCTATCCCAGTAGTCCAGTAACAGTATTTGCAATATTTGTCTTCGGAAACAATTTCTCTAAAACTCTGGTTACATAAAATTGCCTGGCATCCACAGATGACTTTATTTGCACATAGAATATTACCCAAGGCCTCTATTACACTTCATATCTCTGTATGACCCAATGCTACAATCAAAGAATGGGGTGTGTGTGTCCTTGTCCAACTCCCTGCTCAATACAGGAAATCCAGAGCTCAAGCATACCCAGAGGATGTCTATTCATTTGCAGTGAGGGAGATCTCATCACCTCCCTAGGTAACTGGACCCATTGATGAACTGCTCTTATCGTGAAGAAGTTTCTCCTAAGCTTCAGCAGCAATCCATCCTCTTGTAACTTAAGCCTCTTAGATCTAGTCCTGTCCTTGGGAGCAGCAGACAGCAAGTCTTTGCCCTCTTCTATGTGACAGTCCTTTAGGTATTTGGAGAGTGCTGCTAACATATTCCCACTCTCTTCTCCAAGCTAAGCCTTCTCTGTGCCTTCAACATTTTCCATAGTGCTGTCCACCCTCGGAGCCCTCCTCTGAACCCATTCCTATTTGTCGATATCCTTCTTAAAGTACGGCAGCCTGAACTGGACACAGTATTTCAGATGGCATGAGCAGAATTAAATGGAACTGTTACACCCCTTCCCTTGAAACTATGGTTCTCTTAAAGCCGGTTTTGATCCCGTTGGCTTTTTTTTTTTTTGGCAGCCATTATCACCCTTCTATCTCATGTTCAGATTGCCATCAGCTAACCACGTGCTGAATTAGCTTCCAGGTTAGACACACTTGAATACATACTCGCACACAAACACATGGCAGTTTTAGAAAGTTTATTTTAAAAAAATGAATAAGTTACATTTCACAGAAATGATAAGGTAGTCTCTCTACTATGTAAAGAAAACACTGTATTTTATAGATCTGAGTTATTTTAAATAATATTAATATGAACCAACTCATCTGGCTAAAACTAATGAATTACCAGGTTTTTCACTGGTAAGGCACTGTGAAGACAGTAGTATGCGGCAGAATATGGGCTATGGATATTCTAGTGGCAAAAAGTGTTGCTATTTGTCCTTCAGTTTCTCAAAAATTTGTTTCCTATGTAAAAGAAGCTTCCATTTTTCTGTCCTATTCTTAGGGTACTTGAAAATTTCTGTAGAATTCATCCATTTGGAAATGTCCTAATGCAATTTCTTTTCACACTGATGGGAAATGGTTGGAATAAATGCAGGAGAAATTGCCAACACAGGACTAAAAATAATGGTTCCATTGTAGATCAAAATACCATGGAGTTACCATTATTATTATTAAGAATAATTGAATTTATATACCATCACATAATCTTTGAGAATTTGTAATCACTAGCTAGCCATTCTTTCAACAGAGTGAATGAAAGCAACACAATTGAATGACAGATTGCAATCCTCAAACCTAGTAACACATGTACCTAGAGTCAATATGATTTTAATTTTTTTATAAAAACCCTTCCTTTGGAGTACTTCAAGTGCATTTTCAAAAATAAATACGGTAATTAGGTATCAGATATCCTGATACAGAAATTAAGTACATGAAAGCAATTATTAATTTAGGTATCTGCAGACTAGTTAAATGGGCTAAACTCTGCTGGTATATTTCTGCTCCAGTAAAATTTATGGGTTAGGCCCAGACCAAGTTTAACGCACCCATCCATCATCTGGACCAACCCTATGCAACTAGGGTTGTCAGCTTTTCAATTAGCCTTGCTAATGAGCCTTCAAGAACATTCTGACTTGTGGGGTGGCCCATTAGCAATGGACGCTCTTCCAGAAAAACTTTACTCATTGCTACATTTCTTTGACAGCAGAATGGCATGCAGAATAGGGCCATTTGGCAAGTCTGCACGGAATGTGTCACCTCCTACTGGTGAAGAACATGAGCAAAGTGGGAAAGGTGCTTTGCTCAGCACCTTGCAGAATGAAGCCCATTGGGTCCTGCTGCTTAACACATTGGTCACGTGCCCAATTTCTGTTTCGGCAAAAAAAGAAAAGTGAAACAAGCTGGGCAATACATGCATGTGAAAGACAGATAACTTTCCAGACATGATTGTACAGCAAATGTTACATCCGCACCAAGCATTACTCTTAGTCACACAATATTAAGTCTGAAAGTCACACAAAGGAAGTAGAATTACTGTGGATTTAAGTAATATAACAAAGCACCAAGATCAGTCTTCCCAGTTATTCACAACGTTATAGGTAATAGAAAGGCATCATCCTCTGAATAGAGACACTTTATTGCACAGATTCAAACTTCCACGGTCAAGTGGAGAGTGAAGTTTTTGGAGTCAGTTGAAGGACATAACACCCTGGCCAGCAGAGTCTGATGTCACATTTAGAGTTGCTTATCAGGAAGGAAACGAAGTACGAATGAAGGTAGCTGGCAACTCATTCGCCATCTTCAAGTAGCTTTTGTAAATTGCTTTGGATCTTTAATAAGGAAAGAAAAATACAAGAGAAAGGATTTGAATAAAACTTGCAGCCACTTGTACAACAGATGAACAGCCCAGTGTCATACGCTTTGCTTAACTGGAGTATGTTCTCTGAAGTCAAGGCACTCAATCCAGTCAAATCCAAGCAGCCCATAAATTAAATTCTATAAACTCTGTAGCAATGGTTTGCACAAACAGTTCTTATCCATCCTCAGGGATGCCTTTAAATGGAGAATCACTGGGGAAAGTATCCTGAGGTCAACTAGCATGCTTCGAGTGCCTGTTCCCCAAGGTCTATGAAGATTCTGTTTGTCTTTGTGTGATGAGTATTTGTTGATGGGCAACAGAAATACCTTAGCAGGTTTCTGTTGTCTGTTTCAGGAGTGAGGAACCTGTGGCCTTTTGAGATGCTGCAACTCACCACTAGTCCTGCTGGCTTGGGCTGATGGAAGCGGAGTCAGCAACATCTCAAGGGCCACAGCCTCCCCATCTCTGGTCTATTGCCTATATACTAGTGAACATATTGCAGAAAAGCAGCAGCAAATAGACATGCCCTGTGGTTTCTGAACCACGTCATCATGTAACATTTTGAATTTTGGATGTGGAACTATTCTTGGGGAAGTACAACACCGAACAGAAAAGTACTCAGGGGAAAACCTCTCGGTCTGAATTAACTTGACTGTAACTGAGATTTGTACATTGCAGTGTGAAGGGGCCTCCACACCTAGTTTTAGGCTCCGTTCAATCTCCCTGGTAGAGGTTAGCAAGTTCATTTGTTTCGACTGTTAGCAAATGAACCTAAATGGGTACCATCTGCAGGGAGCAGGAAACTAGACAAGCAAATCTCCTGATAACAAATGGCAGAAATCAAGCCCCTGTCCATTGGAAGTACATTGTTTGGGAAACAGAGTGACTGATTAAGGCTTTTCTTTTAAGTAGAAAGGCAGGCTTTGCAGTTTGTCATATAAATATGAAGGGCTCGTCTGCACATTGCAAAAGGGCTTAACGTGTGTGTGTGTTCTGTTCCAGCTGTCCACAAGGGCAAATTTTCTGTCCTCCGTAGAAGCCTGTGCCATGGTAACGATTAGAAGCTCTGTGGAAGTCTTATGTTGCGTTTTGCTAATGCAAAATCATTCCCACAAAGAGCCCTTTTATAGTGAGCCGTAAGAAATTATGAAAACTATTTGTAAATAAAACTCACGAGAGCTTTGGGAGCTAGGGCAGGTGTGTGACAGGTAAGGATGCAGCTGCAAAGGAAGAATCTAGCCATCTTAAAGTGCACCTGAGATTGTTCCTTGTCAAGCAGGGCTTGTATCTGCCGCTGTTTAAGTTGGCACCAAATGCAAGTCCCACTGGGATTAGTGCCACTCAGAGCTGCTATGTGGAGCCAATTTTGAAAAAAAGTGAGACTTGCAAGCCCTGATTCCATTGCACAATTCAGTTTCATATTTCCTTTGACCACCATGGTTTGAAATCAAGACATATAAGCAAAGGAAAACGCTTTGCCTGTCATGGTGAGATCAGGCGACTGACAGGTAGGCAGCCCTACCACCTATCAAAGTAGCCTGTGGATCCAGTTCCCCTAACCTTCAGGTAGGAATTTCCCCCACTACTTTGCCAAATGGGCTGGCACAAAAGCAGTGCTAAGGGTTTGGGAATGGTTGTTAAGCACCATGCCACCCTTATAAACATTAATTTCACTTTCCATGCTCATACAGACCAGCAGCTGTTTCTTAGGACAGGAATGGGGAACCTTTTGCCCACCAGATGTTGTTGGACAACAACTCCCATCATCCCTGATTGTTAGCCATGCTGCCTGGGGCTGATGGAAGTTGGAGTCCAACATCACAGGTTCCCCATCCCTCTTCTAGGACTTGGAAGGTCTGGTTACCTTGGGAAACTTTTTTTAAAAATGCAACAATTCTTAGTTACACAGTTCTCTATTAGTCACCTTTTCCAGTTTGATAAGATTAGCTGTTAGCTCCTCAGAGAGACCAAGAATGTTAAGAGGCAGTTGAGATCCTAGACCTTCTTTTATTGGATATCTGAAATGGAGAGTAAATGCGGGGAAAGGGAAGCAGAAGACAATTTAAAAATGCACAAAGGAGATGTCTGGAGTTTTGTGAGATAGTGAGGTAAGCAACCAGAATGAGAATGTACAGAAATATAGCACTGGATTAAATTTTTCAGTTTTACCTCATGTCAGTTAAAGATCAAAATGCCAAAAATAATGTGCACTATGCACATGCAATCGTATACATGTCTATTCAGAAAAAGTCCTATTAAACGCAATGGGAATTACTCTCATGTAAGTGCAGATTTAAAATGACTGCTTGAAGAAGAGAATGGAAGCCTAACTTCAGGGGAGAAACTATGGGATATATGATGATGAAGCTAGGTCTAGCAGGATGACTATAGTATTAAAAATGGAAAGATAAAGAAGTTTCCAACAACAAAATCATTCTTACGCATGGGGATGTGAATCCACATAAGAAGCCATGGTGCCCAGCTGCTCTTCCAGAATGTAGATTTTATATCTCATGTAGAAAGTCGAGAAAATGAGTACACAAACACTGTAGGAGAGGTGGATTGAGGATAAAAAACACACACTTGATCACCACACACCAAATTGCTGTTACATTCATTTAGCCATGTAACATTATTAGGAATTTAACAGTTAAATTTTCACCCCATTAAGCTGATGTGCCTCAATTTCAGACAGCAAAGCTCAATCGTGCAAAAAGACTTTCAGAGTGACATTGCAGGTATTTTTTCTCAAGTGTTTTCCTTTTGGTAATATAAACTCATCCAGATCTTCACCCTTTACAACAGAGGTGGCTAATGTGGGGTCTTTCAGAATACAATGTTGGACTAGAACTCCCATCAGCTCTAGCGAGCACAGCCAATGGTCAAGAATGATGGGAGTTGTAGTCCAATGACATCAGGAGGGCAGCAAGGTGGCTATGCCTTATTTAAAAGATGCAATGGTGCTTAACCCTCCACTGCTTGCTGCAGCCAGGGAACCAGCTGATATCACCCCAGAAGACAGCAGAATATATACAGTGAAGCTCTACTACTGTCTACTCCACCAACCTACATATCTGCAACCTGGTTTGCAATGTTGTTGGCTGTTTCAATTCACCCATGGGTCTTTTAAAATATCTCTCAATCTCCTTTCAGTTAGCTTCCAGGAGTCCGGCAAAATGCTTTTAGAAAATCACATAAGCCTATTATCCATATAACACAACTCTGAGCAATTTATAAAGGTCACACATTTTTTGCTTCCATTTTCCGCAATGGAAACTTGTACTGTGGAACATATTCAGATTCTTTACTGGTGTGCAGCTAATGTGTGTGTGTGTGGGGGGGGGGAGAGAGAATGTGCAAGCCATTTATTTAGCCACAGGAAGCCCAGCATTCTGAAAGCATCCCAGATTTAAGCCAGCAAAGTTTCCCAGAGTCTTGCTTTTGCAACCTTGCAGTTTGGGAAATGGGTTATATATACTTACAGAATTGCATAGAGAATAAGTATGTGGTTCACAGTCAAAAACTTCTGGTAATTCACTCTGTAAAGGACTCCAAGGATTCTAGGAGGAGGCGCTATGAGAAGAATAAAATATTTATTGAAGAATCTGAAAATGATACGACCAGACACGCTCCATAAGACAACAACTGCCAAATGACTGTAGGGTGCAAGTTGACTGTTGTTGTTGTTTCTTCCTCACTAATTAAAAATATTACAATATGTTAATTCAGGTTATGCTCTGAGGCCACTTAATGAAGGGTAACTGGCTTGGTCTATTATGCAATATGATTATGCTCTAAATCAACTGAGCACATTGTTTAGAGTTAAGCCATCAGCACTGGACACCTTTATACCTAAGGAAGCCTTGATTAAAACCTACAGCTTAAATATGTGGTTAATAGACTGATGAGCTAATGTTCTCAGCCATATGTAAGATAGCATTCCAATCTGTAAGTTGATCTGAATGGGACATTATTTAGAACAGTGGGGCAAAGAAAGGAATTCTAGAAATATGCAAGGCTATGATTGTACTACATGGAGCGGAACCTGCACAGAGCAAGATCTGGTGTCATAAGTAGACTTCAGCTGTAAACCAAAGGAACACATAGCTGGGAGAAGTTTCCAGTTATGGGTGCAGTCTTTGCCCATTCCTTCCTCACTTCCTACCCACAACAGGCATTCTCCCTACGGAAATGCTGATTTTCACCTTTCTGATTTGTATGTCACATTCTATCAGGAGGTTTGCATATGTGATCATCTCCTGCATCTTTCCAGAATTTTGCCTCAAAAATTAAGATCAAATAAAACTGAAAGTCTGTATACATTATTATTTTTTTGCCACTGTGAGCTGGATCCACAAAAATGTGAGCAGAAGAGAAGCAGCTGCTAGCTTTGTTTGACAAATACTTTCATATGAGTTAGTGCTATCAGAGGTAGATTCTGTAGCAGTTCTCTGGCGTCTGCTTGGGCAAGAGGTTGCCTAAGTTCTTGCACAAGTAGAAGAACACCTGCAGAAGTAATTTCACTTTTCACTCCTAGTGTTCTGCACAATGTGTAATATAGGGAGCTTCTCTGTGAGTAGAAGATACTTTCCTCATATAGCAGGCCATTTCTAGATTCAACCTATGGTCATTTTTAATTGCTGAAATCCAACCCGGCCTGGATCTATCAGCTTAGCCCACAACACCAGCTTCAAATGGGGATTTGCTCTATTTACCATTTCTTGGAAGATTCCTGATTTTATCATCACACAAATATTTAGCCTTAACATCTGTATGGACAGCCTTTGACTCCACCCTGGAGGTTTTCAGATGAGTCTGGGTCTCAACAACATGGTAATCTGTTGAAGAACAAGCATTTCAAACTAAAAACAAATGCATGCAGTATTGGGATAACCAGATGTTATCAGATGACAATTCCCATCATTCCCGGCCAGCATGGCCAATTATCAGGCATAATGGGAGTTGTGAACAATTTAAGGCATTGCATAACACCACAAAGTGTAATGCAGGTGAATAAACATTACTGTGAAGTTAGCCTCATTTCAGTAGGACGTGTCTTACATCCATAATTTTTGTGGTTGTCAGAACCATGGATCAGATGCTTAACAACCAGATTGATTAAGATTTTAGTGTAGTCTGCCTAATATTTCAGCACAGGATTCCAAGAGGCAAAAATGGTTTGCCTGGATTCTGCACATTTGTGGGGGGTGGGAAGAGAGGATATGTCCGATGGTTGTGGCTTCAAAAAGTATGAAGGTGTTTGATCAAAACACTGACAAAAAGTGGCCTGTAGCTCAGTGTAGTGTACTTGTTTTGTATGGTCCCAGGTTCAATCCCTGGTGTCTCCAAGCAGGGTTGGGAAAGGACCTGGCAGAAATCTGGAGATCTACTGCTAGCTACAACTCTGAGCCAGAAGGACCAATGGTTTGACATGGTATAAAGAAACTTCCAGCGTTCCTGATCAGCATGAATATGTTGAGAAGACATTGATTTGGCCTAAGTGCTCGAAAAATGAATTTGCAACCTCAAGATGAGGCTTCACACAATTATGTTCCCTTGGTGCTACTGAATAGCTAATACTTCAATCCACAGTGTGATTTTACACAGAGCATGTTGGGACTAACCTATTAATTCTCTGGGACAAGTGCCAATATGTGTCAAACTGTGCCTGACCCCTCCCCTCCATACAATAAAAACCAGGCCTTATATGGACAGGTCTTACATATGTGTTGAAACCACTACAAAGAATTTAGAGCTTTTTGCACATTAAAAAGTACTACATAAACAACAACCACATTTCCCACTCTTTGGCTGCATGCACACCATACTTTTAAAGCATATTTAAAGCACATGGCATCTCCCAAAGGAAGCTGGGAAATGCAGTTTACCCCTCACAGAGCTATAATTTCAAGCACTCTGAACAAAGCACAGTTCCCAGGACTCTTTGGAGGAAGTAATGAGCTTTAAATGTACAGAGTGTATGTAGCCTCTGGGAAAGTGCTCTAAATTCCTAGATAAAAGCATGCAGTTTCTGCTTCTGGATAGTAAAGAAATGGTTTATTATTCAAACCTTGGAAGGCTTCCAGTTCTGGAGTTTGAGAACCAGTGCTGCTGGATTCTTCCATCTCTTGTCTGCGCTGTTGGATGATGCCATCCAATTCAGAAAAATCTTCATTGAAATCCTGAAGAAAAGATGCACCAGAAATGTTAGTTAAGAATTAACGGTCTGTTCAATATTCTGCAGCCACCCCCACCCCCAAATGTCACTTTCAGTAATATGGATCAATAACATCACAATAGTAACAAATATTAAGCGTATCTAAAGCAATGTGGCGCAGTAGAAAATAGAAAACTTAGGTTGCAGTTCCATAAAGATTTTGATCCGTCAAGTCAAGCTCTCTCAATCTAATCTAGTTTTCAAATAACTTAATTCACCTGAAACTCTTGGAATACAGTTGGAAAGGATTCCAAAGCTTCACCAGATGTTATTTAACCTCTTTGTACAAATGTACCAAAAGTTACAATTCTCTTACAATTGGCTTAGCTTGTTGCCCAAACTAGGGCTCTTGGTTAAGCCTGGGCTCAGATGACCCATTAAGCCACACCTGGGCTTATTTCAGGGCATCATAGAAGTAAAACAAGGACTGGGGCAGGGGGAAGTGACTGCAAGCTTTTCTCCAGGAACCCACATTTTTGTGTGGTCCTGGAAACCTACATCTTGAGAACCAGGCCACAGTGAGAGATCTATGATAGCTTTCTGCTCAATTTATATGGAGACTGAAATTTCTGAATAATTATTGCTTTTATATCTGAAGATATTCATGTAAACCTCAAGCTTAAAATCTGGTTTGCCTGGGAAAAGGGCAGAACTAGATCTAAAAAAAGTGTGATCCACCTTACTCAATTATATGAGACTAATTAGCTCATTTAAGGGGAAAATGCATCTACATTTTATACGTCACATTGAATTCATGAAAAAGGATGTATCTTTGATGTCCACATGCTCACAATGGCATCTGAAAGGGGAAGTCTCTGTGAGCATATACTTGTCCATGCAATCAAGACTGTGGACTGGTATCAATCATGTGGAAGCCTATGCATGAACAGCTGTTCATGTGGAAGCTTCTCTTTTCAAATTTCTGTACAAGTTACTCATGATGAATATTGGAATAGAGCTCTAGTGACTTGCCAGAGGTTGACCAGGGAGCTTTACAAGTAAGCAATTAGTGAAGCATTTTATTGCAGTGATCTTTCAGTAATCATAATGACATCAAGTCTTCAACAATCTTAATAACATCAAGTTCAGCATGTACATGCAGGTGTGCATCATGCATGAAATGGTCCATTAATGCCTTTGTCAGCTCACTGCCCTCCAGATGTTTCTGACTACAATTCCCATCAGCCCGAGCCAGCATGTTCTGGTTGGGATTGATGAGAGTTGTAGTCTGAAATGTCTGAAGAACAGCAGGTTGGCAAAGGCTGGTCCATGCCAGAATTGGAGCAAGGAATTTCTTACAAAGCCTCCAATACTATCTCAAAACAAAAATCTTATTACTGAAAATTATATTGGCTCATAGCCATTCCATATTGTTCCTCATCAGTTCTTTGCTTTTAATTTTATTAAAAAACAAAGCTTACCAGTGGTAAAGTTGTCGGGCGATTTGCCCGGAAGCTATTTTCTGGAGAAGGAAGACTGGGACTGTTGCCAACACTAACATCCTGAAAACACATTTTAAAATGACACCATTTGATCAACTACTAATACTGAGAACACACACCGACACACCTGAAAAAGGTTTTCACTCACCTCTAGATGTTGACAAACTGATTTTAATAGTTTGTAAGCAGTGTCTCTGGACAGAAAGGACACGAACATGTACTGAAAAGAAAACCACCAAAATTATTATTCAGCATTTGGGGAGACTGCCATAGCTTGCTTTAGCTAAGAACAAAGGCTCATAAAAGGCATTGTGTGTCATCCAACATGGCAGGCTACTTTTTATCATGTGCCTGGATCACTTGTATCCAAGATTGATGCTGTCAGTATTGAGTTCCCCCTACAAGCTGACCACTACTAGGATATCTCAATCCTATGGTCACACTTAGATAAGCCTGCCCAACAGCTAGTTTTCCTAGACATACTTGGAGGGGCAAAATAGGCCTGTATCTCTATTACCACTGATTCAGGTGAAATGCTTGCATTCCTGAGGGCCCCAGCCACCACCATACCACATAGCCCAAAAACTATGTATCTTGGTTAGACAACTGCAGAGAATGGCACCAGTTGTAAATCTCTGCATTACAGGAGGAGTATTAACTCTTCCCACAACATTGGTTCAGGGTCTTTTTAATTTTATTCTTTATTAAATTTGTACACTGCCCTAAACCCGTAGATCTCAAGGCAGTTCACAACATAGTCACAATATAAAAAACAGAAAATACGTAATAAAAGCAACCCAATACCCCCCCCCCCCGCTTCCACAACACACTTTAAAAGGGTAACAGATGTCAATCAGCTGAAGGCCTAATTAAAGAAGAAAATTTTTGCTTGGTGAAAACACTTCTTTTGTATTAAGAGTTCCAGATATTTTCTTGGCAACTGCTCCCTGATGTTTCCAGTTACTGGGGCTAAGGATGGGTAAAAACATGAGGGGATGAAAAGCAAGCCGTGTGTTTATTTTATTTTGTTTTAGTCCAAGTTAGATCTTGCTTTTCTTTTCTGTATAAATGCAAAGTGATAATAAATAAAAAATAAGTAAAAATCTAACCTTCAATAAAAACCAGGACAGCCAATTAACAAGATCAACAGCTAATGGAGAAGGACAGGGAAAGGGGAGGAAAAACAAAACAAAATGGGGAATTAAAAGGTGCTAAGAAGCTTCTCCCAAAATGTGCACTTACCCTATCAGAGACTGTTGTTATAACCAGGGCATTTGGCACTAGAAGGGCTGTCTTAGTTTTCTTTATCAGTGTCACTGACAACACAGGTATACTAATCTGAAATGAGATTGTATCAGTTATTAAAGATGGTAACTTGGTTCCAGTAGTTTTCATGGTTACTGAGAAATAACCCATTGTGAGAAAGCTGGTTCTTGCATAGACCTGTCACAAAGCAGCTGACATCTGCTTCCTAAGATACTTTGAGATATACAACTAAACATGCAAGTCACACCCTGCTCCATCTCCAATTAAACCCTTGCTTAGAAGGGAAGCAGTATGCTGCTTCCTTAACTTGGCTTCTCCAGAGATACACATATTGAACTGAGAAGACTAGTCAAATTACGTTACCACCACCAGCTGATTTGAGGTTCTTTTTGTAGACCTAATGCTGTATTAACAATTGGTATAGTCACTTCTATTAATAAATTCAACATTATTTCACCCAGGGTTGTGGGATTGAAACCACCGGATCCTTTTTAAATTTTCTAATTCTACAAATGTCCCATTATTTCCATTAACATTTCTATCATCACCCCAACCATATTAAAAAAAGAATTAGGCAAGGATAATCAAGTCCAATGCATCATAACACTTGACTTCATTTACCTTAGTGTCTTTGCCAAAGACCTTAGAATGGAAGCAAATCCAGTTCTCCGATATGAATAGCTTCCCTTGATACAAGATTTCTTTTTGTAACGCACAGGTAAAATCTGAAAGGGTCACAAGTACAATATTATCTAACAGCTGTACTTGTGCAATGCTGTAAGCAATGTATTAAATACTGTCTATGAAATGTAAATGCTGTTATTCATGGAGGGGGAATTACTCTGAAAAAGTCAAATAGCTTTAGATCATATCCTAAGTCTCTTGTAGCTGAACTCTGATCTATTAGGAGAAAGCTACTCAATACAAGATAGTCGTTGAATTATATTTGGGAAAGCAAACATCTTGGCTATGAACTAGAAGAGACTATCAAAAACTAAAGATCCAAATTCACGTGTCAATGGCCAGAAATCTCTCACTAATATTTTAGCTAGTAATAGAATTCCTTGCAAAAACTTTGAGGCAAGCCAAAGGGTTAGTGTGACAGAAAATTCAATGTAATGAAACAGGAAAAAATATAGCATTCAACTTACTTTTTCTCAAGGGTTCATCAATTGGGACATCCAGAAACAGCTTGTGAAAGTGAGCATTTGCCTTAAACTAAAGTTGAGGAAACAAATGGATACATTTTGGTTATTGCTGCATTAACATTATTATATACACCAGCTGATGTCTATCTTTGCATTAAGCAACTAACTGTAAGTCCCTTTTCTGCAGAAGATGTAGGAACTGGGGTTATATTATGCTATTCAGGAACAGAGGTACAGTTTGAGGGCCTAATATTATTGGAAGGGAACGAAGTCCCAGGCAATGGATAACAGTGGCAGTGGAAACCGATTGGGTCAGAGGCCGAAAATGCCACTGTTATGTCTGAGGGAGAATTATTTTGATACTTTGTGCAAGGTCCAAAAATTCTCGAGGTCATCGTTGTAGTTTGGCACAATAATACAGCCAACATATACATGCAATTCACTTTGCCTAAAGTGGGTATTTATTAAAAATAAAAATAAATACTGTTCTTCATCAGAAGATCACAGGGCAGTTCACAAGATAAAAATATAAAATGAGAATACAAAATATATTGTAAAACAAAAACAAACCAAGCCCCCAAACACATTTAAAAGCCCATACAAGAATGTTTAATCAGCCAAAGGTCTGGTTATAGGGAAACACTTTCGCCTGGCAATTAAAGATATGTAATGATGGTGCCAGGTGAGCCTCCTTGAGGAGAGCATTCCACAAATGGAGTCACCACAGAAAAGGCCCACTCTTGTGTTGCCACCCTCCGGACCTCTTGTGGAGGCACATGAAGAAGGGCCTCAGATGATGACTGCAGGGTCTGGATCCCAAACATGTAGATTCTCTCCAGTACCTGATTTGAGGCACTCTTCTTCCTTTCGGGCTTTGAGACGTTCTTGCCATCTGTTGCCAAGAAGGTATTATCCACTATTGTCTTTGACCTAGAGCAAGGCAACATCCCATGAATATAACACTGTTTTCAAAATGAGGTTTTTCTTTTTTAAAAAGCTCCCAGGCAGCATTTCTGCTGCAGGGACGGGGAGCCTGTGGCCCTCTAGATGTTGTTGGACAACAGTTATCATTCTTGACCAATGGCCATGCTGGCTGGAGCTGATAAGAACTGGAGTCCAACAACACCTTACCCTTAAAGGTCTCAGGGGGGAGTTCTTTTACATAATCAGCTCACTTTTGATACCCGTGTTCACCACACTTTAAAAATAAATAAATCCAGAGAAATAGTAGGTAGATCTGGAGCCAATATGCTTATTTTGAAGTTTTCAAATGACTACTACTGGAAGCTTTGTAAACACCCGCTCATTCACAAGAACCATGCATGTAAATTACACATTTTAAGGAAACCATCACTGAAGTACAATGTGGCCTATGGTGTGCTGGGGAGAGTGGACACCAGGTCATGCCAAGCCTATGACTGAAGACTCCTCCTTTACACAGGCAACATTCATCATATGAGCTCAAATGAATTCAAACCCAGAGCCCTAATTAACTGATAATGGTCCCTTACTGCCATTAATGATGCATAGGAATAGGTTTAGTTCTGCCCTGGTATTTATCTCATCTGGGGGAGAAGAAAGCTAGTTGCTCCATCCATAATGGAGGTTCTTCTATCAGGGAGCAGATTGAGGATGAGTGTAGCTGCATGTAGAGAAGAAGGAAGGAAATACAAATTGGGCAGGGAGGAATGCATTTACAAAAACTATGCTGATGACAATACTGTGAAATGTATATGCAAAATGGATGTACAGAAAGATGAGTATGGTAATGGCACACATATATTATTACATAGGTGCAGTATAGAATTTTGGGCCAGCTTATGATAGGACAAACTGAAGAGCTATCAGCCAGTAAGATCTTCTGTTAAGAACCCAGAACATGAATATCTATCTAACGAACTGGCAAAACACCAAATCCTATTTCCAGATTTGTATGGCATTACTACCCTTGTTTCTAATTACTAAGCTACAACTTTGCAGAATTAAGTGAGAAGCTGAAGATTATTTATAGATTGAGACTCACTGGTTACTCATATGATATCAATTTCAGGTTTGTTTATGTGTTCAAGAGAATTAAAACCAGATGTTTAATAACTGAGAGGAAGGGAATGTGCCTGTGGTTAGTTAGGGACCCTCCACTCATCTCTATTTACTACAGTTTGTAGCAGGGACAGGTAACCAGTGGCCAGAGTCTGGATCTGGTGGCCATCTGGACCAGCCTTTCAAACTCTCCTGAGCCCCACACCACATTGGCAGTGGTCCAAATGGGACTGCAAATGCAACATCCTCTGGAACTGTGTGTCTAACAGCTTTCTTTGGAAGAGTTACACTATTGAAAAGTTTGTATATTTGGATTCTTTATTACCGTGAAGTTACAACCTTCTTCTGGTCTTCAAAACATTCAAGATCACTTGGTGATGTCTGTGACAGCCCAGGATATGGTTTCCCGCTCTTCTTTTTTTCTTCTGTCCCATTTTCACTTTCTGAACTGCAGGGAAAATGACATTTATCATCAGTGCCACTGCATAATTCCTTAAATTCCAAGCATTCTACATTTTAAAAGCAAACTTTAATAAACAAAGCAAATCCCAACCCATCACCCTAAAATCTAATACTTAAATTGTGCACCTGCCTGCCTGTTTATCTAGTTAGGATTTAGCACCATGCTTTCATAACAAATGTAACATTTTTATACCAACTGCAATATGTACACACCAGCTAGTTCAGTTCTCTTGTTGCTAGCTGGAACTTTGCTTATCACTGTGGAGATATGCTCCTGCCACCTTTGATCTACTCTGGTTCTATGATCCGAAGCACTTTTAAATATTTATATAATCTAAAATATCAATGTTATCTAATACTGCAGACCTAATCATATTTTAATTGGGCATAATCCAGTTGAAATCAATGGGATGTTCAAAAAGAAATGTGGAATGGGGCCATCATTGTGAAATATAAATATGCTTATTCTTGGGAAACGTGCAGTAGGAAGATTTTTTTGTCTGCTGCTGCACTGAAGACAACAGTTGTTCTTGGATGTAAGACAAAAAAACAGGAATAAACAAGGCTAGCCCAAGACATTTTGCTGCCTGAAGCAAAAACTAAATAGTGCCACCTCCTGCTGCAGAACTCAGACACCAATTCCTGCTTTCATCTATCACCCCCCCCCCGCCCCATGGTGCCACCTTGGCAGGGCAAGTGCTAAAACAATAGCCTTAGAAGTCAGTGTGCTATCATAGCAGAAAGACCACTGTCTGTATATCTGTAAAGAAAACATAGTTTGTTGTGTGTGAATATTGCCAGTACAAGCAGGATGGAAGGTAAAATGACTTGTGGAAAGGCAAATAAAGCAAGGTACTGGGTGTGTTGAAATAAGACGGCTTTGTTTTGCTAGTGTAGTGAACAAATATTGTATCTGTCCCAAGCAACATGAGCTGCCGGTTGCAATTCCCAGCAAAGATCAGAGAAGAGATAGCTGCCTCACTAAGTCTGCAGCCTATAAAGGTTGCCTGCATAATTACTAATTTGAAGGAGGGAAGGAGCAGATCCAGACTGAAGTGCAGTTAAGGCAGCAAAAAGCTTGGGATATGCACTATGCTCAGTGCTAATGCATTTATTTACACGGAAGCCTCACTGCTTTCAGTGGAACCTACTTCCAAAAAGCATTCTCAGGAATGCTTCCTTAAGTACAGCCTTCTTCAACTTTGGGTCCTCAAATGTTGTTAGAACTATAACTCCCATCATCTCTGATCACTGGCTAAACTGGCAGGGGATGATGGAGACTGTAGTTCAACAATATCTGGGGACCAAGCTTGAATAATTCTGCTTTAGTGACAGGTAAAGAGACATGGTAAAATGGAGAATGTTAAAATTTTCTGTTATGATTAAATGAACTTTGGCAGGTTCTGCTTACTTACGGCTTTCAAATGGTCACTCTTTTCACAGTCAGGGTGGTCATTTCAACCAAAAGGGACAAAAAAACCAACCAACCCATTCGTCTCTTCCTCCCTAACATTTTCATTCAGGTACACTGAGTCAAGTTCCCTTCAACAAAAGAGCTGAAGCTCAAGAATTCATCATACTTGCACTCAATGACAATGAAAAATGATAGAGTGCTGTCCTCTGTAACTTGACAGCTCGCATCCTTTTTTACCAATAGAAATTGATTCAGTGTTTCTCATTCTCTAGGAACAAAACAACCAACAGTTCAGAATGAGAACTGTCACTGAAAAGCAGCTTCTTTACATTTTCTCTTTCCCCTTTCTGATCTCTTGAGATAGAAAAGCTTTAACAGTTCCACTGGCAGACAGTCTTTCAGCTGTGGGATTCGTAACCCAAGTTGCAAATGGCACAACGTCAAAACTGAATATTTTCATTCTCACTAGACAATATGATTGCCATTGCTTCAAAGAGTATGTTTTCTAAGGTGAATAAAATTAGTCTTCTTACTCATTCAAAAGAAGGCCCCATATTGAATTTAATGGGATTACTTTGTAACTGCACAAAGGATTGCACTGAGAGTCAATCATATCCGTGGCATGTTTGTTGTATTGTTAGGCTTGGGTGTTTGTTTTTGTTTTTTGAAATCTTGAGATTTAAATTTTTATTGCAAGCTGCTACAATTTGATTTTATAACTGGAAAACAGGATAAAAATGTCTTAAAAAATAAATACAGCAATGGAGGACAGGATACCACAGTAATCCTGATGGGAGACATCTAGGAATGCCATGTATGTGGCCCCAAAGATGGGACATAAATGTACAAAATGAAATATTTAAAAACACGATGGCCCCAATCACATCCAATTTGTTTGTGCTTTTTAGAGACCTTCCGAATGGGTTGGAGCTACTTAGTTATACTGCAGTCATATAAAAAAAATAAGTTTATTTTATTTTGAAGGGCTGCAGAGTAGCTTCTTCTTCAGGGACTTCAACTGAACTTTGTGATAATAATTTTCATAAGCATTATGAGAAAGCAGAACTGAGATTTTGATTTTTGCTTGATGCTTGTAATGCAACAGAAGGGAACGAGAAAAATCACAGGAAACGTATTGTAATTTTAAGATATGCACTGTGAAAAAGAATGCCTCAACTTTAAGAGAATGCTTCAACTTCAATAACAACAGTTTAAAAAAAAAATATTTTATGTATTAAGAAGTTTTTGTTTGTTTCCCATATGAATAGAAGTTCATATTTAGGAATTATTTTTGCAGCTTCAGGATGATTAGGTGATATAAGGCTGTAAATGTACCACTTGTTGGAATTAGTACAGTGGTACCTTGGGTTACATACGCTTCAGGCTACAGACTCCGCTAACCCAGAAATAGTACCTCAGGTTAAGAACTTTCAGGATGAGAACAGGATGGGAATAGAAATCGTGCTCTGGAAGCGTGGCAGCATCAGGAGGCCCCATTAGTTAAAGTGGTGCTTCAGGTTAAGAACGGACCTCCGGAACGAAATAAGTACCTGAGGTACCACTGTAACTAAAAAGTCTGCAGACAAGTAGTTACCAAGGCTAGGGTGTTGGCTCCTATATATAAAGAATCTGCTTGATCCACTTCACGTTTGGAAGAGATGACATGATAGATGGGACAAAGGAAGTTATGGCTTCTGGTAAAACAACCAGAATTACATTGAAAATGCTTTGCCTTCCACACCTATCTTTGAACTGCCTTGAGAGTGCTGCAGGCTATCACCCACCTTTGACCTATCTCTTACTTTTTCTGCTGATGCATAGTGATGCAGAAGCAATGAAGTCACTGAATAGAATCTACTGGATGTCATGGCGCAAAGCCTAGGATGTTGCTGCTTAAGGGCTTGTGTACGCTTGCTGGAATCCACATTTTCTCCCTTTGAATTTGACCTTATTAGTCAAATTGAAGTTGAAGATCAAACCTGCTTGATCCTGTCCAGACCAGCAGCTATTCCCTTTTGTCTTTGTCTGCACCTTACAATCTGTTCATTTGAATGTGTTAGTTTTGCACAACCAGGGCATGAACATAGGAATCAGCTGAAAAATTGTGTCTGCCCAGGAATGGCACACATCCAGGAATTTGGGGGGGGGATCAAGGCAATGCATCCACTGTCGGAAAAGCAGTTTGGATATATTTTTCAAAATGTACCGCTGGAACAGGGAAATCTGAATTTACAAGGGAAAACCAAAGGGACAGGGGCTGTTTGAGGGTGATGTCATGTGGATGTCGCTACTTAAATGGGAATGCAAGCAGCTTAAAGTGCATATTAAAAGGAGCTCTATTCCCTTCTCAGAGGCACATACACATGGTGGGTGGTGCAAGAAATAAAAGTGGGTGCAGCAATGGATTTAAATTTTACCCCTGTGCAGTGAACTAGTTTCTACACACACCTCTCTATCCTCCATCCAGGGAAGCAAGAGTCATTATCAGAGTTCAGTGATGCATTCCAGCCCAGGAGGGTGTGAATCAAGACCAGTGAGGCCTGTGGCTTGGGGTGAGAGGTTCTCCATCCCTGCTCCTTTGTAGCAGCCTAAAATTGCTTAGGGGAAGGGATGGAGTAAAGAGCAAGCAATGAAGGAAAAGGGATGAGCAAGGTTGAGGACAGAATCTTGAAGGGGAAGGCCCTTCCATGGATTCTCTCCATGAAATTTCCTTGGCCTTCTGCTAGCAGCTAGCTAACAGCTAATCAGACGATATCAGGATTAAGAAAATTTTTAAAGAACATCTTTGTACAGTCTAGTCAACAATACTGGAAGTAGCCAGGGCTTTTTTTCAGTAGGAACTCACTGGAACTCAGTTCCGACACCTCTGAGGTGGGCGCCATTGCCATTATAAGAGAACAAGGGAGGTATTCATGGTGCTTCTGGCACCTCTTTCTCTAAAAATTGTGCTGGAAGCAGCATATCATAACTTACAGATGGGGACAGGCAGGTGTACCCCTGTGGAAGAATTAAGATCCAATGGAAAAGATACAGACATGTAACCCTTAATTTGTTATTCAAACCTGTGGTGCAAATCCCAGCAATTCTCATTGAAAAGAGACAAGAAAATTTGCATTTGCATCCTGTCCTTGATTCCATTAAGTCAAAACAGCTTGATTTAGACCTGGTTGACCTTCTCCACAAAGAGGCATGCTGTTTTTCACAGTGGAACCTAGCCGATAATGTGTGGATTGTAAAACATGCTGGATTAATCATGCAGAAAATCATGCAGAAGAGGAAGAGGACACACACCCCTCCACCCCCTGGTTTATGCACATGTACGCTGAAGGCTCTTTAGCTCTTTGGAATCTCTTTTCTGCCTTTTATACTATAAACTGGAAATCCATGCCTGACATGGCATTTAAATTGGTAAATAAAATAGGGGGTGTCCTTAAAAATACAAAAATAAGTTGGAAATCCATTCCTGAAACCCTGATAGCTCAAAGAATGCCCCTGCTTCATGAAATGTAATCTTCATCCAGAATTGGGGGTAAACAAAATACACTAATGTTTTGTTTTTAAATATAACCCCT